GTGCAGTGGTTAAAATGCAGTATTGCAGGCTGACTCTGCCCACTGCCAGCAGTTCAATCCTGACTAGTTCCAAGTGGACTCAGCCTTCCCTCCTTCCGAGGTGGGTCAAATGAGGACCCAGATTGTTGGGGGCAAGAGGCTGACTCTGTAAACCGCTTAGAAAGGGCTGTAAAGCACTGTAAAGCGGCATATAAGTCTAAGTGCTATTGCTGTGGCTGGATCTTCTTCTTTTTCCTGCTATGTAAACCTTTGGAATGCTCTCAGCCTCAAAACTAGCAAGAAACAACCTAACCAGTATTCACCAATCATGGCCAGAAATAGGCTAGAAGAGACCTGTTAGGTGGATGGGTTCTGTGGACCACAGTTTTCCTTCTTGATTTTAAAATGTTGATAACAGAAGAACAGAGTTGGAAGGGACCTTGGAGGTCTTCTAGTCCAACCCCCTGCCTAAGCAGGAGACCCTATACCATTTCAGACAAGTGACTGTCCGGTCTCTTCTTAAAAGCTTCCAGTGATGGAACACCACAACTTCAGGAAGCAAAGTGCTCCACTGGTTAATTGTTCTCATCTTCAATTTGCCGACCGTGTTTGAGTTTAAAACTGAGCCATGGTTTTATTGAACAAACCATAATTGCTTGCCAGTTAGTTAACATTAATCTGGGTAAACGGATATTGTCTTAACATCACGTGTGAATCCAAACACTGGTAAAATAACCATCTAGATTGAGAAAGAATTCACCAATGGGAAACATCTAAAATAAAAATTTAAAAACCCATCTCTTTGATTCCAGAACATTGCTTTGAGCCAGCTGCCAAATATGTTCAAACCACCAGATAATCAAGTGAAACCAATGTAATCATGTAAGGCTTTTAAAATCAGGTTATAGCCCTATTTTTTTTACAAAAACAACAACAACCTTACATTCTTGCTGGCTTTCCGCAGGGTAAGCTGTAACCCTTGGCACACTTTCTTGTTTAAGCACAGCAGGAATTATTTCTCGGCAAACACACCCGGGCATCCAGTTTCTTGGAACCTAAGGCAGCAGATAAAAATGGCTCTAATATTCGGAAGCTTATTCATTCAATCCACTGTAAACTCTTTAATCTTTTGTGAAGGCAGAGAGCAGTGCCAATCCTTGTACCTCTGTAAACGGAGGAGAAGAGCAGGCACAGCTGGGGGGGGGGGGGGGGGGTTAAGTGCTTCATCAGCCTAGAATCGTTACGTTGCCACAAATGTCCAACTCCTTCAATACCGTTGACCTGGTGCCGATTTAGTATTGAACTTATGTTCCTGATAATTGCCCCTAACTTTAATCTCATCAACTGAAGATCAGTACTACATTGGTGCCAGATAAGGGTCAACAGAATTCAAGAAGGGTTGGACTTGGACCGTTTGTAGCACAACGTAATGATTCTAGGCTGATGACACCTTTAACTCCGCCCTACCAGGTCCGTCTGCTCTTCTACTCTGCTACAGTGAAGAGCTTATACCTTATACTTAGCTCAGAGTAAGAGTTAAGTAACCCACCTTTCTCTTTTCCCCCCCCCTCCTTAAAATTCCCTTTCAGACTGCTGCGACTTCGTAATCCCTGGGGCCGCTTCTCTTGGAATGGCAGCTGGTCCGACGAATGGCCCCACTGGCCCTCCCATTTGCGTCATGAGCTGATGCCCCACGGGAGCAGCGAGGGGGTCTTCTGGATGGAATACAGCGACTTCATCAGGTATTTCCCAGGGGGAGCCAGCTGCGTCTCAGAGAGCGCTTG